CTCTCTCTCTCTCGAAGTTGCACATTAGTCATTGGGATGCTTGAATATAAATTTTTTTGATTTGATTGGATTTTTTAGTTTGATTTGGTTAATTTTGAAAAAGATAGTATAGTTAGTTGTTAGTGGGTATGTTAAAATTATATTTAAAATAAAATAATTAAAGTTGATTTGATGTAAAAGTAGGAGAGTGATGATTTGAAGTGATAGTTAGTTAAAATTATGTGAGTAGATGAATAGTTAATTAAAGTTGATGTGATGTGTAAAAATGATTGGTTGGTATTATTTAATTATGTTAAAAATATTACTGATAGTGAAGTTGAGTTAAAGTTGAGTTAAAAAGTGGTTGAGTTAAAAATGTTTGAATTAAATTTGTATAAAAGCATCCAGACGAGCTGAAAAATATTTATTTATATGATTTCCATGTTATTGGTCAATTATTGATTTAACTTGTTTAGTCTTCCAACAATTATTGTTCATTTATTTATGAGTTAGACAAAATATGTTTATATTTGTTTCGAATGGAAATTAAATTTGGTAAATTGTGATATATTGCAAGATTTTAGCATACATGGTCTGATTTACATGAGCTTTTATATATTATGATATTAAATAAAAAGTTTATTTTAATTTGTTAGGCCAAGTTCAAAGCTTCATAGTTCATAGGCGAATGAGAAACGCAAGTTATGAACTCAATTTTTAATTACCACTTTTTATACCTTAAATTAAATGAAAGTAAATATTTTAATTTTTGTCTATCACCACTATAAAGAATATATGGACAATTAATTATGGGGAAAGAGTACGTTAAGTTAAAGAAATAAAGAATACCTCAAAAGAAAACAAAGTGTACCCGGAAAAAAGCTATCCTTAAAAAGAAAAATAAAAAATCGCAATAAAGTAGCAAATAATAAAATCCATTTATAATTAATTCCACCCAAAATTTTATTAAATCAGTGTCGTTTTTCTTTAATGAGAAATAATAATTGCAATAATTGCTACTATTATTAAATTCTTTACTCAGACAACTCCATTTCTGTGCACTCTCTCCGTTCTCTCTCCCTCTACGCGATCTCTTGTGAGTTATCATAATCTGAATTCGCCACAAACACGCACTTGAATTATTACGGCGTAGTTTCTAAGCATTTGGGCGTGAGGGATTTTGTCTCAACAAAACCGTAAGCCTAAAAGTATATGATAGATTCTGCAGAATAAGTGAAGCAGTTGGTTTTGCTCGTGGGATGTGCGAGAAGCTGAGGAGTTGAGGTAAGATTTCGAGTAAGTCCGCTTAGTTCACTTCGATGTTTTTTTGTTTTTTGGGAAGCTCTTGAAGTTTTGTTTTTATTGTTTTTTCCTTTATCTTTGGGAAATTCTTTTAGCAGAATTTTGCCTAGTATGCTTAGATCTGTACTAAGTAGTTGCTGTTCGAAGATTAAGTGTTTTCGCTTCATTGATCAAAATTGAAGCTAGATAAGAAACTGTGGAAATTCTAGGAGTATTAGTATTTGAGAATTTGGGGAAAAAGATTCCTCATTTCGTATTATATTAATAGTTCATATTTTTGCTCATTTTGGGAAGTTCAAGATTCTGGAATTATAATATATGGTTTCTGTATATAATATTTTTGAGTGGAAAGGGGAAAATAGATTTATGTGGTAGTAAGAAATTTTCCTATCACTTTGTCCAACCAATGAAGTAGCAGCTGCCATGGTTGAGCAGAAANAAAAAAAAAAAAAAAAAAAATGGGCTTCCTGAATCATGAAGGACTTGATCAAGTGCATTTCTATGTTTCAATCTGCTTAAGTTTGTAATAATGCATTGGCAATCTACCTTTAGTATTACTAACATTATATTGCCATTTCTTAAACGAAACGAATTGGCGCAGCCCGTCATGATTGATAGAATGAAGAGAATGAAGAGATGCAAAGAATAATCTCATCTTTTTATTAGTTTTTATTCAGGTGACAACTGCTCTCATCATTCAAATCTTTTGTTTTTATAACTGAGGATTATATGGTCAGTATCATGTAATTGAAAATATAGAAGCTGTGTATTGACATGATAAAATGCTCTGCAAAGGAAATTTTGAATGAAGTTCATCAACCACAGCTTACGTTTGTAGTAAAGCAGTTTCACGAGTCGACATCTGAAAAGAATCCCATATTTTCAGGAAAGTATGCCTTCATGGTGGGGTAAGTCATCATCAAAAGAAGCAAAAAAGAAAACAACCAAGGAAAGCTTCATTGACACCCTACACAAGAAGTTCAAAAGCCCCGACAGCAAATCCTCCTGTAGATTGGGAGGTTCTAGAAGACGCTCGAGTGACAGTGTCTCTGAGAGAGGGTCCCAGTCCACGTCACCTTCTTCCAAACACGTGGCTCGATGTCAGAGTTTTGCAGAGAGGCCTCAGTCCCAACCACTTCCCATGCCAAGCCTTGGACCTCCCAAAGTCAGCCGCACGAATTCTGGAATAACTGAGCCGGTAAAGACAAAACAGGAAAGGGTCTCCAAAGCATCATTATTTCTTCCTCTTCCTAGGCCAGCATGCATAAGGCAGAGGCTGGAGCCTGGGGATTTGGATGGTGATTTGGCAGTGGCCTCAATCTCTAGTGAGTGTTCGATTGAGAGTGACGATCAGGTTGATTCACGTCAACGTAGTCCACTGGTGACTGACTATGATGTCGGATGTAGGACGACTGCTGGTAGCCCCACCAGGTGAGTGGAGTTACTCATCGTGTAGAAAATAAATAAATTAAGTAGCAGTACAAAGAAAGATTTTTTTTTTTTTTTTTGAATAAAAAAAAATCCATGAGGTTTCGTCTAATTATAAATGAACCCAAGTTGCCATCTTGAATGTGTAATTTTCAGAAGGCAAGCAAATGTTAATAGGGGATTTTGTAATTTGGAAAGATATATAAACTTCAAACCAACCTTTGGGGTTCTTTTCTGTAATTAAGCCATAATTTTATGTTTTGGTTTTAGTTATATATGATGTTTGAGCTCTAAACAATTAAATGTGGCCTCCCTGTTTCGTTCTATTTCATCCTTGCAGTATTTCTAAAGACAGCTTGCCTGTTGCGCCTTTAGTCTCTAGGCAATCACAAGTTCCTGTGAACCTCTCCTCCAACAAGAATATCTCTTCTCCTCCTAGAAGACGACCTTTTAATGGTCAAATGGCGAGTTTACAGGTTCTGCAACATGGCGCCTTGTGGAGTGCTCCCGATAGCTCAATGTCGAGTCCCTCCAGAAGTCCAATGAGGGCCTCTGGTTATGAGCAAATTACGAGCACAGCTTTTACTGCTGGCAAACTCTATCCAGATTTTCCCTTCCTCGGTTCTGGTCAATGCTCCAGTCCAGGCTCAGGTCAGCTAGAGGACAAATAGCCCCACTAAAACTTAAAATATCTACAGAGTATACCTGTACAGAAATTTCATGCAAAATAGAAAGTTTGACCTGAGTAAAAAAAAAAATTATATCTATATATGTATATCTTTATTATGTAAACAATAGACAATTTAAATGTAAATATGCATACCATACATCACTACTGTATTCATTTTTTTTTTTTTCCCAATGGAAAATATTTTCTGGCTGCAGGTCAGACGTCTGGCCACAACTCGATGGGAGGAGATCTATCCGGGCAATTATTTTGGCAGCCCAGTCGAGGAAGTCCAGAAATTTCTCCAATCCCATCTCCAAGAATGACGAGTGCTGGACCAAGCTCCAGAATCCACAGTGGTTCTGTAACACCACTTCATTCTAGAAATGGAGGAGGGTATTCCGAATCACAGAGCAACTGGCCTGAGGATGCAAGACAGCAAAGCCACCGTTTGCCCTTACCTCCCATAACCATTTCCAGCGCCTCGCCTTTTCATCAGCAGAGTTCAGCTGTGACTTCGCCTTCTGTGCCACGAAGTCCTGGACGAGCTGAGAATCTCGCCAGCCCTGGCTCACGTTGGAAAAAGGGGAAGCTTCTTGGTCGAGGCACATTTGGACACGTTTATGTTGGTTTTAATAGGTAAGGGAGCCTCCCGTCTAAATGAATGAGTATCATAGATTTCTTTTTTTGTTTGTTTGTTTATATTTTTGTAAGTAGTTACTGATGAATGGGTTTTAATTGTTGTTGGTTTTTAGTGAAACTGGTGAAATGTGTGCAATGAAGGAGGTTACATTATTTTCTGATGATGCAAAGTCCAAGGAAAGTGCGAAGCAGTTGGGACAAGTGAGTTTTTAGTCATTAGATTTGTGGGGAGGCATATTCTTTGTAAAGATGTATAAGGTCATACTGTTCTTTCAAATGCTATCAGGAAGTGCAAGTATTTGTTAAGTAGATAAGCCTTACACTGTAATTCTGTTGCTTACAGGAGATTGCACTGTTGAGTCGCTTAAGGCATCCTAATATTGTTCAGTACTATGGATCTGAAACGGTTAGTCGCATTACAGCTCTCTTTTATCTTATACATTTAATGTTTACTTCTATGTTGGCGGAGCATTGAGTGCACAGTTTCTACATATCCATCTCCAACATTTGGTTGACCATAGGCCTCTGCCATGATTTGCTTGAAAGTCTGACTTTTGATTCACTAGGAACAGCGTCACACAAAAAATTTCAATGAGATGTAATATTGTGAACTCACTATTTCTAAATTATGTTTCTCCGAAAAGCTATCATGTAGCAATACGGTTCACTTCAACTTGTGTATGGTTCATTCTTATTAAACCTTCTGTTCCGAACTACATTTTTGTTAATAGGTTGGCGACAAATTATACATTTATTTGGAATATGTATCTGGTGGTTCTATCCATAAGCTTCTACAAGAATATGGAAAGTTGGGTGAATCAGCCATCCGCAGTTACACTCAACAAATTTTGTCAGGGCTTGCATATTTACATGCTAAGAATACTGTACACAGGTAACGTGCTGCCTCTCTTTTGCCAATTGTCTATGAGAACCTCTCTCTCTCTCTCTATCTCTCTCTCTCTCTTATTCTTCTTCTTCTTCTTCTTCTTTTTCTTCTTCTTCTTCTTCTTAGAGCGTTGTATATGGCAGGGATATTAAAGGAGCCAACATACTTGTGGACCCAAATGGACGTGTTAAGTTGGCAGACTTTGGGATGGCGAAGCATGTAAATTGAGGACTCTCTTATTAAATGCTATATTTATTTGTCAGAGAAAAAAAAGTAATCTAAAAGATGGATGGACAAAGTTGATCTAACGATATGAGTAGTGAATAAAGATTTGAAATCAGCTTATTGAGGACATTAATCTGTTTCAATATATTTTTCTTTATTGATTACTATATTTCCAACATATATGAGGTTAGTTGACTGGCTTTTACTGCACTTTTGGGTCAAGGATATTGACTGGCTTTCTGCATTTGATATCCTCTAGAAATTTCTTTCTTATAATTAAAGATGATATGGTTTTGCAGATAACAGGGCAATCTTGTCCCTTATCTTTTAAGGGTAGTCCTTACTGGATGGCTCCTGAGGTTAGTTGTTTTACAGTTATTTCCTTGAATGTAATATCTAGTACCTACTATTCTCTTTCTACCAGATTATTAATTTTAAATTCTGCTCGTCACTTAGGTTATAAGGAATTCAAATGGATGTAGTCTAGCCGTTGACATATGGAGTCTTGGATGCACTGTCTTAGAAATGGCAACATCAAAGCCACCATGGAGCCAGTATGAAGGGGTTTGTATTTTGGACTTTAATTCAAGAGTTGATAACTTGCTTTTTTTTTCCTATTCTGTTCCTCATTTCTGGTTAGCCACACAATATACCCAAGGATTATCTTTACTAAAAAAACTCAAAATTGTGAATAACCCCCTTGATTGGTCTGTTTGTTTATTTTTTGTTTCCTTTTGTGTTTGTGTGTGTGCATCTTCTATAGGAGGGTGTATTTGTTTGGTAAATGCAATCATTAAGGGTATATTTATAATTAAAGCATATTTGTTTCTTATGCGATTGGATACAAATTATTTTTTGTTCTGACTCGCCGGATAATTGTTTTGGCAAAAACTGTATTTGGATACAAAATTTATAACTCAAAGTTCAACCAAATTTAACCCCACTTTACCCTTCTCAATATTATCAAAATAAATAAATAATATCAACTAGTCATTACCACACAGTGTTCGACAAAATTTACTATTCATCCAATCACATATTTTTAATTACCGATCAAATCACCTCCCTTTACAGCACAAGAACTTTAATCATCAGTACATTTTAACTCATCCATACACAAACTCAAAATCCGATCCAAATATTCCTCAACTTTTTCCAAAATCAACTCACTTTATCATGTAAATTCAATCAAAACGGAATTTTTTTATTTCCAATCACACTTGCTAGTACTGTAATTAGAGTAAATCTAAATGGCAATTCTTGTAATTATTCTTTATTATTTTTTTCCATTATTTTTCTTATTTGTTTAGGTGTGAGCTTGCATGTGAGTATGATTCTAATTCCAATTGTTAACCTTGTTGAACTTGCCCCACCTTATTGAACTTGCCCTAGAGTTACTCTATTATATAGTATGACTTACTAGAAACTATTGTTTTTGTGTTCGGGTTTAAAGGTAGCCGCCATGTTCAAGATTGGAAATAGTAAGGAACTTCCAACAATTCCGGATTATCTCTCGGAAGAAGGGAAAGAATTTGTGAGGCTATGCTTGAAACGAAACCCCCTGCATCGTCCTACAGCTGCTCAGCTTCTTGAGCACTCTTTTGTAAAAAGTGCCGCACCTTTGGAGAAACAAATGCAGAGTTTTACAACATCTACCGAGCACCTTCCAATAACAAATGTCGTTAAACCTTCGGTAATAACTTCTGACCTTTCCTTATATTTTTAAGAGATAATTACAAAAAGTATCCGTGATGTTTTATCTAATTACAGAAGAATCTATGTAAGTTTAGAATCACAAAAGGTTCGACTTATGTGTTGAAACTGAGGGACTAATATATAAGGTTTTATCTTTCCCTGGGATTTGACTATAAAGTTGGAAGACTAATATTAGCATAAGTTTCCAAATGCTTGTTCTTTTAACTTTCCAGTTAGTGTTTTTCTGTTCTTTGTAATTAGGTCGATATTCAAGGGTCCTTTTCATAATTAACCACATTCTAAATCCAATTTATTTTTAATGTTTAGCAGATGATGGTCTTTCTCATTTCTCCCACTGTGTGGTGTTTTGGCCTTTAGAGATATTTTGGCAATTATTTCGTTGACCATTAAGTATAACTGTTACGCTACGAATATCTATTGTCAACTATGTTTATACATCTTTGTGTATTTATTTGAGTTATGCATAACTAATAATTTGTGCTCGGGATGAGGAACACTTGTTATAACCACCACATATTTTACTGATGATGTGGTTTATGCATCACTTGTAGAAAATCAATAATGTGAGAATTCTTCAGCAGCCCGATCCAGAGAGACTCGCTATCCACTCATCCAGAATATCGAAATCTAGTTTTCACTCCAGGTCTGTGTGTGTGTGTGTGTGTGCTTGTGTGATAATGTCTTCTCTGTCATCAAATGACCTTCAAATACTTTATATGAAAGCTTAATGAAAAGGAATAATCGCAAAAATCAATTCTTAGCTTTTACCTACTTACAGAAACAACCTGCATATATTTCCAAATAACGATACCTCATAGGCGTTACAGACAACCCCCTTGATGTTTAAATCCATCCGGCAACACAAATTTTTGTGTGATCCAGTTTTAGACTATGAACAAAAATGTATATTTAATATACTATCAAATGTCATACCTTGTTTATGTTACTTTTTAAAGTATTAACATTTTCGAACGAAAAAAAAAAAAAAATGCATATTTGTATGAAAAGTATGTCGGCGTAATAGTTAGGCCGACCTAACAAAAGACTTATAGCAAATACCCTCACTTCTTTTAAGATGCAATCTGTAAAATTGCTGCACATATCAAGTGGTATTTGTGGTTTTCAAAACAAACAAGCATGAAAATCTTTTTTCCTTTCCTCTTATTTTCCTAGCAATTGGGTATAAGAAAACCCCCCAAAAAATCAAGCATATTAATGTTCTAAAACAATCAACATATGTTATTAATTTCAGCGACATTTACATCTCAAGGAACATATCATGCCCAGTCTCGCCTATCGGTTCAAGGTCTCCCCAATACCTTAGCGGCCGAATGTCTCCTTCCCCAATTTCCAGCCCTCGTGCGACATCTGGCTCGACCACACCCCTCCCTTTTCACAACCAACAATCGCTGCCCAATATTTTGCAGCAGGAGGGTTTTGCGAATTTACAATCTGGCCCCTGCACCAGCAGCTCCTCCTACTGGGATTCCGAAATCCTCAGAGGGGTACAATCGGGAGGATCTTCTTCTCATGCCTTTCGAGAGTTGACAGTAGCCTATGATAATAATAAACAGTCGGTTTTGTTTGATCGTGTGTCCCAGCAGCTGCTCAGAGAGCCTTCCAAGTTGTTGAATCAGTCTCTGGATTTGAGGACTCCTTCTGCATTGACGTGCAATCGCTCGACCAGATTATGACCTATATTATTAATTGCCATTATCGTCGTAAAAAATGTT